TGATTCTATGATTCTATGATTCTGTGCAGGCATTCACCCGGAGCATCGGCTGCGACAAGCACCTGGCAGTGGCTTATTTCCAGCGGGGGACCGTGTTTTACCGGAGGCAGAAGTGAGTGGAGGGCTTTAACATTTCGGTTTTGCTGCTTGTGGAGATGCCAGCTTTTGGCTGAGGACAGCCCCAGGCGGGGGTACCCCAGGGGCCAAATTGCAACCCCTCGAGGTAAAACAGGCTCCTGTTCATCCGTGGTGCAGTCTTGGGATTAACACCAGCCTTGGAGCATCTCTCCTCCCCCTGGGGTGTCCAAAAACACTAGGAGGAGATAGGAGAGACCCACCTAAACTCAAACAAGTTTAAGTTAAGACTTAGAGGCACCTGTGAGGGGCACCAGGCAGCCAGAGTGCCACCACAAGGTGGTGACGCCCTTGTCCTCTGCTCCACAGCCATGAAAAGGCCATTGAGGATTTCAAAGAGGCGCTGGCCCAACTGCGAGGCAACCAGCTCATCGACTACAAGATCCTGGGGCTGCGGTACAGGCTCTTCGCTTGTGAGGTGAGAAAGACTTGACTGGCAGTTTTGATCTCAAAGGGTTGTTCACCGTCTCAAGAAATAAGAAGACAGCCAACCTCTCTTCATGCCTTACAAAAAAGCAAGCAAGCTAGCGCAGTGCTCTGTGCGGTGCCACCACCCTGCTGTCCTGTCCTTCACTGCGCTCCCGGCCAGGGTCTGGCTGCTCTAAGAGCTCATTTCCTTGCTCCCATCCCTCTGGCAGATACTCTATAACATCGCGCTGGTGTACGCCACGATGGAGGACTGGAAGAAAGCTGAGGAGCATCTGACACTGGCCATGAGCATGAAGAGCGAGCCCCAGCACAATAAGATCGACAGGGCAATGGAAGCCATCCTGGTAAGGAGGAGCAGGTCTTACAGCTGCCGTGTTTGCTCACAGCAGCCCCACAGGGAGGAGGGAGAAAAATCCCAGTGACAGAGAAACCTCCTTTTAGCTATGGCTTTAGCAGAGCAGGAGAAAAACGCAGCGGGCTGAGAAAAATGTGGGTGTCATACTGAGACATGAGTTGGTGGGAAGAGCTCTGGGTCACCGGCGAGGCAGGGATGGCAAGACTGGGTTAAATGGCCCATGTCAGGGCTGGGGTCGGTGGTGTTTTGACTTTATGGAGCGAGACCTTAACCCCAGAGGTAGAAGGATGGGGACAATAAGCAGTCCCTGTTCTCACCTCTGAAGAGCGCCATGACTTCTCTGTGCTGCAGAAGCAGAAGTTCTGCGAGCTGGTGGCCATTCCTGCGGGGAAGCTGTTTAGACCAAATGAAAAGCAAGTGGCTCAGCTGGAGAAGAAGGACTACCTGGGAAAAGCTACGGTAAGAAAGAAAGATCTTATTTATTCAGGCCAAGCCTGTGGGTTGAAGAGAGCTGCTGACCGCCCTCTTGCCACCCCTCTGAGCTGCTGCCTGGTGGGCAGCCAGAGATGCAGAGCTGGTCCATGCCTCGGGGATCCCCCCGGGCGTGGAGGGAGGGATGGCATGTAGGGGTCTCGTGGGGAACAGGGAGTCTGCAGGAACAGAGGAGCTAAAAGCATATTTCTGCAGAGCATGGCCTATTTTCAGTTTTCTCTCGTTAGCGAGACATGAGGGCCAGTCAGTCAGCAACGAGCTGGAAAGGTCCCACCAGAGCTTCAACCTGAGTCAAGATTTTTTCAGGGAGGGGAGAAGAAGCTATTTAAATATTTAAAATCTGACACCCACAAACAACCTCCAGTTCTTCCCCTGCTCCATGTAAAAGAGGCTTTTCAGCTCAGATAAGCGAGGAAGTTTTTCTCCCATGAGTGTGCACAATCCAAGCGCGGGGATTCCATCCTTGGGCTCAGGTCCTGGGAGGCAGTGCTCTGCCGGAAAGCGACCCATCGGCTGTGCAGGCACTAGGGAATCGATTGACTGAGAGCCAAGCAGCTCCTCAGGCATCAGGGGATCTCCAGAAACTCACACACAAACATTTATGAACTTTCTAAACAATGTTTAAAGTTGCCTATAGGAGGTAAGGGCTTGAGTTGGACGCTTTGATTCCCTTCAACATTTGTGATTCAAATATAAAGGGAAACTTCGAGGTTATAGTGACTCTAACTGCAGTAATGGTGAGGCTAAAAGCTGAGACTTTGCCCCAGCTGAGAGGTGAGTTTTGGTGCCAGAAGCGCTTAGCCTGTGATCAAAGATTCTTAGCCTAAAATCACAGCCCCTCTGGAACCTGAAGCATCCTGAGGAGCTTGGCTTGGCCAACAGCAAAGGAGGAGGGTGGACATCAGAGATCTGAGAGAGGTCTACGAGCACCAAGTCACTACCTATCTGTCTTCGGCTCTAGGTGGTGGCATCCGTGGTGGACAAGGATGATTTTTCAGGATTTGCTCCACTCCAACCACAGGTAAGGCACCACTGATGAACAGCATCCTTGGTGAAAGTTCAGGAGGACGTGGGGATGGGTATCATCCCACAGCGTGCCGAGGGCTCTGGCTCACAGCGGGGAGCAAACGGCAGCATCGCCACCGTGAACTTTCTGCTACTGCCGCGGGGAGGAGGCGGACACTGCCCCCACATCTCAGCTGCTCTCTCCATCATCGGGGAACGCAGCCCAAACCCACCTACGTTTGTGGTTGAGGTTAACCCGGTTCCCTGAATAGGGAAGTAGCGGCCTGGCAGCGCATCCTCTGCCCCCACCGTTGCTGCGGGGTGACGGCTTTCGGCAGGGAGCGGTCTCAGACCCTCTCCGTAAGATTCATTGGGTTCATCTGTCTCAGCTCAAGCCATCAGAGAAGCAAGAACAGTTTTGCTTTCATTCTCCATCCTCCTACAAGTTCCCAAAGCCCTTCGCGTTTTCATTCCTGATGATGTAGCAGCATCTTTCCATATCTAAAGGCACCCGAGAGTTTTTACAGGAGCTTTTTGAGAGGATACAGGGAAGCGCAGCTGCTGCAGCCTGCAGCACTGTTACCCAAGATAAAATACACTCTTCTCAACGCAGCCAAGTGTTGACACTTTGCTGCACGAGTTTCAAGTAGCTTCTTCAGAGGGTTGACAAACCCACTAGAGACCTTAAATTACTTAGGCAGGAGAGAACATAAAGCACGATGACAGCAGCTGGGGATTTTACAAGCACGATAATGAGAAGATATGGGGAAGTACAGCTTACTGCTTAAACCAGCTGATCTCAAATCCGTGATCTCAGCCCTCTGTGAGCTGAAACCAAAATCACAAGTGAAAACAAGATTATGCCTCTGAAAACCAGTTGCATGTGGAAGAATTTGGAAACTGTTGGTTTGAAGGAGCAAAGCTTGTGATATTCCTCACGGCACAAAAGGCAGTTGCTTTATGCATCAGGGTGCCAGAAAGCCAAAAACCTACTGCAACCAGCTGTGAAGCAGCAAAAAACTCCTTTTACGTTCAAATCATCTGACCTGACACCAGCCCAGGGAGGAAGGAACCATGTAGGGGTGATGGCAGGCGTGGTAGAAGGCAGCAGGACATTTCTGCAAAGCAAATGAAATCCTCCAGATTACTGATTATTTTCTTTTTGTCTTCTTGTTGGCAGGCCTCTGGTCCTCCACCCAGGCCCAAGACCCCAGAAATCCTCAGGTAAGTTGGATGAAGGATGGAAAATGCTGCTAACCAGTGCAGCCAGCTCCAACCCCATCCTGCACCATTGCAGTTGAGCATCCAGCTGGCATCCAAAACTCAGGGGGGGGCGAGGAAGGGATCGTAGAAACAAGGAGACAGAGGCTGCTAACCAGTGCAGCCAGGTCCAACCCCATCCTGCACCATTGCAGCTGAGCATCCAGCCGGCATCCAAAACTCAGGGGGGGCAAGGAAGGGATCGTAGAAACAAGGAGACAGAGGTCTGGGTTCCCCCTACAAAGCAAAACAATGATGTCGCCCACCTTCCTGACCTGGTCGCTGCTCCCGCACCCAGGGCCCTCAAAGGGCAGCCGCACCGCGTCCTGTACGAGTTCATCCCTGAGACTGCCGAGGAGCTGCAGGTCCTGCCGGGAAACATCGTCTTTGTCCTGAAGAAAGAGAAGGACAACTGGGCTACGGTGATGTTCAACGGAAAGGTACCAGGGGCGTGCTTGGCAGGAGGGGGCGGGCGACGGGGTGGGTGCTGTGAGGTTCTGCAGAGGACTTGGAGAGCAAAGCCTTGCCGTCAGCAACTAAATGAATTTCTGACTTAAGTCCTTTATGCCCACCCTGGCTTAGGCCACAGAGTTCAGCGAAACCCACCCAACCTGCAGCAACTAACCTTCAAGCCTCAGGGACTCTCCTGGATTCAGGGCAAGGCAAGGACAAGCTCAGCTGCATCCTCCAGCAGTGCGTTGCCTCCTTGCCAAAGAATCCCCACTCATCTCTCCTTCCCCCACAGAAGGGGATCGTCCCCTGCAACTACCTCGAGCCCGTGGAGCTCCAGAACAAGCTGCACATCCAGGTGAGGAAGCCTAGGAGGAGATGGTGTCCTGGGGAGGGCAGATGCCCACATGTTCACCCACCACCTATTCTGGGCCTTCCAGCAGGACCCATACCTGCAACTCCCTCCCCCTCATAATGCTGGGCTTGGTTCTTCTGGATCACGGTCACCTTAATATGAGCTCAGAGACCTGAAAAATCTGGGCAGATGCTGTGCCAATGGCCCCCCGGGTGGTGGTTGGCAATGCCGGAGAGATGAAGGGGTAGTGAAGTGACCCCTCCCCAGGTCAAGACTCCAAACAGACCTTGGTAAAATAATGGGTTGGAGGGGAGGCTCCACGAGGCAGCAGCACCCCAGCTCCCTTAGGAAGGGTGGGATTGACAGCACTACCTTGTTCCCATCCGGCACAGGAAGAAATCCCTCTTGAAGCCGAGATCCCAGAGCCACCCAGCTCCACCGCTCCAAAAAAGCCGCGGCGGCCAGCACCAGGTCAGTGAGGGGAGCTGAAGGGATGGGGGTGCTTTAGGGGCACAACACCGGCAGCAGGTTTGAGACGGTCTCCTCGATGCCGTGTTCCTCACGCTTTGCAACCAGAGCTGGGGCTCATCTCTATCTTGTTCCCAGGCCCGTTTGCACTCAAGGATGGAGAGGCATTAAAGCAGGAGGCAGAGACAGCAACTGCAGTGCTGAGGATGGAGTAAAATAGAGCATGTGGGTCCCCAAGGAAAGCAAGTCCCTCCGTGGTCTTAATTAGCACAGTGACTAATGGGAAAAAGGGTCTGGGGATAGGAACGGGGCAAGCAACGCAGCTTGTCCAAGTCTTGGAGCAGAAGGTTCCTTACAGGCTTCTTAGAGCAGGGCACCCATGATCATTTTAGTGCTGCTGTGAGCTGGGCTAGGTTTGAAGGAGCTGCGGTTGCCCTGGGAAGGGGATTTCTGGCCGATGCTACCCAGGGCCCCAGGCCTGGGCCAGGGATGGTAGCACCAGGGCCACCACAGGGCCCCAGCACAGTTGGTTCAGGATGCTGGGAAGCCAAAACAGGGCACTGCCACCTGCAGCCACGCTGCTGCAGGAGTGCTCAAGTGCACAGTCCAAAACCGCGGTTTAAAGCTGGGGAGCGCACATATTTCAGCAAGCTGAAACGAAGAGCTGGGAGGAAGCATTGAGAGTTGCCCTCTCTAGAAAACACCACGCAGTGCTTGGGGGTAGGAGCCTGTGGCTGAGCTGTGAACTCCACACCACTGCAGGAAAAACCCATTTGGAAAATATCACTGTGCAGAGACCGTACCGCACGGGTGTTAACCTCCTGCAGTTTATTCTGGCTATCGACAGCCAACCTGCGAAAAAAAAGTAGGAATATGTAGACAAGCAATTGCCAACCCTGCTCTGAGGTGGGCCTGAGCCAGTCGATGGTGGGGAAAGGTGGACCAAAGGACTACTAATGACAGGACAGGGCTCATGACCCAAGTAGAGCAGCCTCATAGGCAGTCCAGTGGTAAAGTTGATAGAGAAGATGGCTGTGGCTCATAGGAGTTAAGGGCAAACATCTCAGGGACCCAACAAGACCATAAAGGTCATAAAGACCTCAAAGAGCATCTTTATGGCACCAAAAGCCACCGCGGATCTAGCAGTGGGACCGCATTCAAGAGCGTAGCTCTGTCTCTTCCCATAACGAGCACAGTCAAGTCAAAGCACCAACAAACCATAGAGCAGATCCTTGCGAGAGGACTTCAACAAACCTCCATCGCATCACCCTACCTGGAGGTCTGAATTTAGCTTTACAACCCCAGTGAAGGACAAGGATTGCCTCTGGTTTTCAGTGTGAACCTGGGGAGATCAGAAGAGCAAAGACACTAAAACCAGTAACTCATGGGGGGTTTTTTGTTTTTAGTTGGTTTTTTAATTTTTTTTTTAAATTAATTCCACCCAGGAAAGACATCCCACCCCTAAAGCTCCTGTCCCTATAAGAGGGAAGGCACAGAGTCCAAACCTCTGCTTGGTGGTTATATCTAAATCTTACAGGTAAATCCCATCACAGCTGATGCTGCATCCATTCAAGGGACCACCGCTGGCTTCAGGGTTGGTTGCTGTTCCTGCAGATAATGATGGGTGTCAAGGAGAAGGGATGCAGGAGATCTGAATGCGTATTTAGGCGCAGAGCAGCAATGCTTACCCCATCCCCCTTGCTGAGCCATCTCTTTCTTCCTCCACAGACTATGCTCCTGCTACTGCAATGCAGCTGAGAGAAGCAGCCAAGGTTAACATCCCGTGAATACAGATCCTGAGGTCTATGTTACAAACCCATATTTATTGCACATTGAAAGGTGCTGGCATGCCTGGCAAGCACCACGGCCCTGGAAGTGTTTCAGGTTTTCATCATTCAGGAGCTTCTCCAAAGCATAACGACAGGCGCAGGGGCCAGCAGGTCATAAGGACCCAACTGGGTGACTAGGGCTGCTTTTTGGGAGGTCTTCTGCAGGTCTGCTCCCCACCAGACCCATGGCTGTCAGCAGAGCCCTTGTACAACTCAGGTGGCACTTGAGAAGGGAGAAATAGGAGAGAGCTTGGCTGTAAAGCACATGCTCCTGGGCAGGGTCAGCGCATCAGAAGGTCACACGGGGGAGAAAGATGAGAAAACATGACAATCCCAACTCAAAAAAAGAAGGAGGGGATTGGGGGCTGGACACACCTCGAATTTGGTCACCCGAAAGCCACAATTTGGTTGTTAAGTGCCCCATCTATTACCCGTGCTCTCTCCTGGGACAAGCCCAGGGCTGCCAACCAGCCACATGTCCAACCATAGCTTGGGTGGCACGACCACTGACCTGTAGCGAGGGAATTGCCAAAGGCTGCACATGCCAGCAGAGATGCCTCCCTGACCAGCAACCAGCTGATGCCCTGCAGCTCAGATTTGACTCAGGCAACTGCAGCTTCCACGTCCCGGTCCCTCTCCCTGCTCTCACATCCAGTTTACTGCCCACAGGAGGCCGAAGCGGCCGTCTCCAGCCCCCACGTCCTCAAGGTGCATTACAAATACACGGTCGCCCTGCAAGTCGAGCCAGGCCTCTCCTACACGGATCTCCTGGAGCTGGTTTGCAAGAAACTGGAGCTCCAGCCTGAGCATACGGAGCTGAGGTGAGGTGCTGTCCGCTGCGGGCAGCAGGAGCCGTGTTTTCAGGGCTCCCACCCTTACCCCATGTCCTCCGCACGCCCAGGTACAAGCCTGCGGAGAGCCAAGCGCTGGTGACTCTGAGGACGGAGAACCTGGAGGTGGCTTGGAGCCAGAGCAAGGACAACTGTCTGACAGTCTGGTGCGACATCACGGAGGTCAGTGACAGCTAGCGGCGGTGGCCACCTCTTCTGCCCGCTCCCGGCAAGGAACCTACGCAGATGTTGCCTTTGCTTTCCTTGCCGCGAGCGCAGGCTTTTGGGTTTTCAAAGCCAGCGACCTCTTGAAAGGGAGAGGAGCAAAGAGCGGGCGAAGAGGAGAAGCAGAGCTTGTCTCTCTTACCCCGGTATAAAGAAAAAGGAGATGGCAAAAGGTGTCCTTACCAGCTTATTTCCTGCCCTAGGGAGAGGGGTTTTTACCAGACAGCAAACCAGAGGAGTCGCCGCTGGAGGAGACAGGACCAACCCAAGTTATAGCGCAGTACAGTTATGAAGCCACCCAGCCTGAAGACCTGGAATTTCAGGCAGGAGATGTGATACTTGTTTTATCCAAAGGTAATCGCGCTCCTTCTGCGACAGGGGAAGGGAGGGACATTGTGAGTTCCCAACATCTGCCAGTCAGGCCAAAAACTCTCAGGTATTTGTTCAGACACTGGTTTTCAGTGGAGCCTACAAGCTTCACTAGGGACTTTGATCTCTTTTCCCAAATCCTCCAGTCCTCCAAAGCAAACTGTTTCATGCTGGGGACCTGCAGAGCAACAGCCAGGCTCAGGCAGCCTTCAATGATAGCAAACTTCTCCTCCTGCAAGCTGCAGTTTGCCACCTTTAGATGGAAAACAGGCTGCTCAGATTTCTGCCGCAGGGCGCTCTGAGAAAGCTTGCACTGAATGCAAACGCTTTACAAGACAGGTTAGAAAAGATGGCAGAGGTTGCACATACATGAGGCGGCAGGTGGAAGCCAGGGGAAAGGACAACCTAAGGACACGTAGGAGAGTTGCTTTCCTTCGCATCGCTAAGAGCTGTGTCACCGGGCTTCCAGTTTCCACATTCACGGGGCAAACCTGCTCCGTCCCCATGAAGGACCAAAACCAAAAATCCAACCTACTGAGGTGTTTCCAGCCTCTGCTTTGCATGCTCCTGACTAACCACGGGGTTTTCGGCTTACCAGCCAATCCTCCGGAGCCACAAGACAAGCAGGACCCAACATCTGCAAGACTCCTTTCCACAAATGCCTTCTTCCACCGCAACTGCCTCGGGTGCTGCAGTGCAGGCAGAGCTCCTCCAGCTCTACGGTGGGCTTCCCACCCAAGCCTCAGTGTTACACACGCTTCTTCCAACATATTTTCATCACACCCCTGTTTCTGCCACCTCCTTCCCCAAACAGTTTCAAGATGGGAGAGTTTCACTTGAGCTGTGTTTAACTTTACTGATCACAGTTTATTTTCTAAAGGAGATGCCTCATTTTGGCTGCCGCCCCCGCAATGAGAGAATGCTCTTACTCCCATTCCCCTCACCTGGAACCTTTTTCTGGCTGCTTTTCTTTTTAAGGGTACAATCTTCCATTAGCCCCGATCCTCTTTAATATTAGTCTTTAGTGCTTCTATGAGAATTGAGGCTTAAATACAGACTAAATCTCAGCAAGATCTAGGACATGTTTTTGAGTTGGATCCTTTCAAGTCTGCGCAGAACGCACAAGGAGGGAGGACAATTTATGATACTGCTATATGCAGCTCTATCGCTAATTTGTGCTCGCTGGCAGGCTTCAGCAGCAGTGCACAAGCGGTCACAGTCCCCCCTCCACCACTCTACAGGTAAGTTTTTGCACCATACAACATTGATGACTTCCCCCACCCCAAAATCCTACCGCCCCCTTCACTGCTGAGCTAAATATTTCCCATTAAAAAGTTGGTTCTCACCTCATTTGGTTTCCCACAGCAGGAGTTTTCAGAGGTTCTAAGCTTTACTCAGCCCAGGGTAGCACAGGCTTTTGGGTTTTGTTTTGGAGGGGTTTTTTTTCCATATGAAATGGAACAGCAGGTGAAAATACACTTTATTTGGCATCCTGAAGAGGACAGCCCGTCTCAGATCGTTTCCTTGCTCTCCACACTCGCTTTGTTTCCACTGTCTTCTATTCAAGGCAGTTTCTAAGCCCCTTGGTCTCTATTTTGATCTACTTTTCCCACCTTTGTTCAGCAGTGCACTCCTTCTTACAACTTTGCTCTCTACCTCATTCCTCCTCAGCCCCTTTCCTCCACATTCCTCTCTCCACCAGGCTTTAGCATGGCTAAAAGGTTCATCAGCAGAAAACCTTAAAATGGTGATCTCAGGCCTGTCTGTAGCACATGGAGGTTATTATGCTCCTGTATATCCCTAGGGTGACAGAAATTGTGTCGATTTTCTCTTCCAGTGAATGAAGACTGGCTAGAAGGCCAGTGCAAGGGGAAGATAGGCATCTTCCCATCCGCTTTCGTTCAAGAGTCTAACACTAAAGACCCAGAAATGTGATTTCAGAAGAGTTTAAAGTCATGGACATGAAAAGAAGTTAAGAATTCAACTGTTGCAATTAAGAAGTTTCCATATTAATCGCTGCATCTGAAAATGAACTTTAAATACTATTGCTACTTGTATTAAAAGCTTTATTTTTTATTTTACCTTTTGCATTGTTCTCTAAAACAGGTACTTATTAAAAAGTTGCTAATTATCTTCCCGTTAGGAATACATTCAGTAATGAAAACTGTGCTTACCAAGAGACTGGCTCTGTCCCGCCAGCCCTACCCTTAACAAAGCTTTTACACAGTCACGCCAGCAGCTGCGAAAACCCACGAGAGGGTGGTGCCACTTGCACTTACAGCCCTGCCAGCAGATCCAGAAGAGGAACTGGCGTTCAGGAAGCTTCGGACCAGGAAAGGCTGAACTTCCGACAGCATTTGCTTCCTTAAAACATTACTGCCAACCCCAAGGGCTTAAGAGACACCATGCAGCCTCATCCTGCTCCAGTTGACAATTCGCTTCAAAACCACAGTGACTTTAAAACCCCCCACCGATAAAAATATACATATTTTTTCACCTTTGGAAGCCGCATCTCAAAGCTTTTTCTCAGCAGTCAGAAGAGAGAGTAACTTAGAAAGACACTGCCTGGAGTCTCAGTGGGTCATACAGCAGCGACATTGTCCCCTTTATAGAAGCCTACACAACTTTGATGCCCTCTTCCCTATCCGAGAGGTTTGTCCCCCTCTGCCCTTGGCACTACTTTCGCAGTATGTCACCTTCCCCGGCTGCTGACAGCTGGTCCTTCTGGCATTTTAAAGTTATCTACTCTGCCCCATCTTCAAAACACACAAGCTGTAGATACAGCCAGCCACCTACAGCGTTGGGAGCGCTTTGCTTCAAAGGTGCTAAGGGCAGCGGTTTCCGCTTTGGATTCTATCACGCAAATTCTGGACAACCCCACTGGCCCAATAACCTGAATATCGTATTTATTTTTAAAGGAACTTATTCTGGGTTGCCTGGATACAATGGACACCTGTCATTTCAAAACCAGAACATCTCTGTGGTTTTCTTTGACACGTTTGGAAGTATGCTGTTTAAAAACCGGCTGCAAACAGCCAACATCCTGATCTGCAAGCAGGTCAACGGCAGAAGGATCTGTGTCCTCCAGCTCCCGCTGCCTGTGCTCTACCAGGTTCAGTCTGCAACTGAAGAGCAGCTTTGCAAGCCACTCCCCTCCCAGATTTTTGGTTGGGTACGTAAAACGCATTGCACACAGGCAGCACAAAACCACCATCCAATTATCTGCACCGAGCCCAAGCCAGAATCTTTGCGATTTATTTAGTTCTCTTTCAAATAGACAAAAAAAAAAAAAAAAAAGAAAAGATCAACTTCAAGCCTTCTTTTGACTTCTCCAGAAAAATAACGCATTTTTAAAAGCCTGCAGCCAAGTTGCACGGGAAATAAACGCTACACACAGACCTGGGTGGAGAGAACATGGTTTAATTAAAGGCAAAGCTGATTTCAGCAGCTGCAGTTCTTGCACAGACAGACAAAAAACACAAAAAAAGCTTACGACACAAACCAGTTTCTGGTGGGGGCCCCTTCCCTCGCTCCCCCAGGCGTCGGAGGGCGGGAGGGGAGTCCCAGCCGAGCGTCGGACGCATTCCCGAGGCCGGATGCTCATGCACAAGTGGAACGGTGCGGCTGGGACCCTGGCACTGCCGGGAGTGAGATGGCCAACCTGGTTAGCTCGTCTGGGGTGCAAGAGTCAGTGACGGTTCACACACTGGAATGTCGCAGCTGCCTGGGTGCACAGCTCGGTACACAAACCGGGAGGGCTGGAGGGAAGTACAGAGGGGTTTGGTTCGTCTCACCGCTGGGTGGGAACTTCACTTTTTGGACTTTTTAAAGGAAATACAGCTTTGAAATGCAACAAAGAACATGTTGCTAAGGTGGAGATCGTGGGGGAGCTGCTCATACCCCCAGAGGGGTATCGTGTCTCCTCCGTCTTCCCTTTTTGTATTCTTTGGGGCTGCCCAGACTCCAGTGTCACTTCGGCTCCTGCATGTGCTTTGCTCTGCAGCTGACTTCCAGCTCAGAGATCCTGAATCATCACACAAACCCCTACTGCTAAACACAGCAAATGGACATTGAGATTGTTTCCATAACTTCCCTGGGAAACCTAACAAAAATGCTGTCCTTTTCTTTAACGAAGCTTCCAGTCTTTCTTCCCCCTAATAAATAGCAAATAAAACGTTTTCCTTTTCCCTTCTGCACCTTTTCATCTATGAACAGCGCTATGCTTTCTTCCGTGTGTGGGTTACACACGTGTGTCCACGGGTGCCTTGAATTTCATTCTGGAACTGAAAGTTTGGGGCTGCAGCTGGGGGGCGGGGGGCGC